TTTTTTAAGTGTTCAATACAAACACAGACACACACAGCTCTGCAGCAAACTCAGCCCTCTTGAAAATGGTTTACTGAGTGCCTCTGAAACATCAGTGTGAAGGCATTAGATCACACATGGGATACTCAAAAGCTGTGCCCAATGTCGAAAATTCACCTACCCCATTTGCTTCTGCCTTGTCCTGCATGTAGAAAAGCCACCACCCCATCCCCTGACCTTAAGAAAATAACTGGGTTCCACTGTAGTTTGAAAACACGTGCTCATGCATGGGCTATTGCTTTGGAGGATAGATAGCAGGGCTGGAAAAAAAGGGGGAGGTTATATGACATGGCCCTTTTGCAAACTAACAGGTGACTCGGTTGACATCAGGCAGGGTTAGAGTGGTGGCGCTGAGTATGGTGCCCCTCATCCCGCCTCCTAAGCAGAACAAATTCCCACCTTCCACCTCATCTATCCTTAAGGAAGAAAAGGCTTAAAAGGATCTGCTGCTCACCCACTGTCCCAAGGACTCAGGGACTAAGTTAATACCATCACACTAACAGAACATAACAATGTGTTGAGAGTACTTACCGCATTCCTTGAAATTGAAGAAAGTTGCCGTGGTTATTAGTAGCTCCTAATGATATTTGCATAGATTAACAGACTTTAATGCAATCGTGAATGCTACAATCCCGGGGAAAATAATGAAGAAATCCATTATGATGTAATAAAGTAACTAAGTCAATACAGTAATAATTTGATCCCATATTAGTAATAATTTCATCTCCTGCTGCAAGGCAATTTTAATGCACATACCGTTTCTGGACAGTTTTATAAATATCACCTTTGTTTGAGATAATTAATTAGCAAAATCAAAAAATACATTGCTGGTATTTTATACGATAAATTAGTCATTAGGTTTAAACTGGCAGGCTGTAATAAAACTTATTAAGATAAATGTGCTGGGATTCTTAACACTTCAGAGAAGCTGTTCTCCTCTGTCTTAAGGCTCTTCTGGTGCAAAGCTATTATCGCTGCTGGGTGGTTTCTATGTATGTTAAAACTCAATTATGAAAGTCATGTTTATAACCCCGACTTGCTTAGCAATAGGAGCCGAAGGCATTAGCCCATACCTGCCCAGTGGACGAGGCTAAGGTGAGGGTGAGTTGCTGAGGGCCCTATTATTTCTCTTCCCATCGTCAGTCAGAGCCCAGAGCCTCCTGCAAGACTGAACCAAACTATCTTCACTTCAGAGGAACTCAGGTCCAGGTCATCCTGCTGATACAGGGGAGTGTTTTGCATTCAGGGGCAGGGGAGGGGGAGAACATTAATCATTAAGGGGGTGGTTACCAGTTCTAGTTTTCTGCTTCTGCTCTTATTTTGTGATTACTGAATCATTTTTTGCTTTCCGGAAGTGCCTAGAAATCACAACGGACCTCAGCAACATCTGTGACAAAGTGGCCACTGGAGCCAAAAGCTACTACACTTTACAGTGACCACCGTTTCCAGCCCTCTGAAATATTCCCTCCACGTGGCTGGGGATCTGAGAAAGGCTTTGCTGTGTGTTTGGGGAGCTGTCCCAGCCAGATGGCACAGGCTGTCTGAGACTGTCAGAACTGGATGGGGACCAGCTTCTTGCAAGGAGCACAACTCTCGCCACCTAATGATCTGGTCTTGCCTCCCTGGAAGACTGTGCTGTGTGGCCAAAGCAAGGATTGCCGTTCTGGGCTTCATGACACCACTCTCCAGGAACAGGGGTATTAAATAATTAGATTGCATTTTCAAAGGGCATCATTTGGGTCTTGCTTAGACATTCCCTGAGCCAGTTTGCTGTCATCTTCCCAAGGCATTACAATTTCCCACTCTGGCCAAACTCGGCCCTTTCCCCACAGTTCCCCACCTAGCTGAGGTTTCCAAACCCATGTCACTTTGCATTTGGAATGGTAGTAAATGACACAAATTGATGATCTATCAAACTCTAGTTTTCTTTATAGGCCAATTCTCAATGCAAAATACGAATGTCCCCAAAACCTCATTCTCATTTATAAAAAACTCAACAGAGTTCAACATTTAGCTGGGAGCAGGCCACGAGTGCTGCTGGAATCTACTATTAAGCCAATATTGTAGCCAAGTAAACAGTCAAAAGACAGAGGAAGTGGCAAAACCCCATGGCTCCCCCCATTCAGAAAACCACCTTTGGTGTAATATCATTAGGGCAGCACAATGCATTATAGAGCTAAGAAACTCTACTGTAGAACTGCTCCCTTTCCTAATACACCATGGGCATCACTCTTGAAATAAAATGATAGAATCAATACTTTGTCATACTTGTTTAGCTTCTTTGGGGAGAACAAATGTTTTTCCCCACCAAGTAGCAATACCTTCACTTTAGGGATACTTTCTTATGGATGTACAAAGTGCTTTATGTACAAATTTGGTTTAGGAATCCCATAAGCTCTGGAGTGCTGGAGGCTGGAAGAGCAACTGGGACAAAAATCATTGGACAGGCACTTTGTTCTGATAGTTTTTCCTAAGCATGGTCTACTGGCCAATGTCAGGGAAGGCTATTGGACTACATGAACCTTCTGTATGACTCAGAATGGCAGTTATTATATAATCATATCACATCCTGGTGCCAACTGGCATGGGCCATTGCATTCAGTCAGTAGGCTGTATGCCTTGCTTTTCAATGAGACCTTATTAGACTTGAATTTCCAGTCCTGATATTGGGTATGTTAATTGGAAAGCTGTTTAAAAGTGTTGTGACATGAAGAGGACTGCAAGTCTAGGCAAGGCTTCACAGATTATTCCATTTGCTGTTATTTGTGGACACATGTCAACACCACTGTGCTCTCTGTTCTATCATCTCTGATTTGGTGCTTTTGAATACACAACATTGCCCTGACTGCTCAAAGGGGAAGGCATGGTTTTTCAGGACCAGCTTTTTGGGTGTAGGTTTCCTCAAAGTGGTCTGAGACTCCTAATTATTCATTGGAGCTATTCCTTTGGCTGATCTCCATTGTGCCTGCTGTGTGATGGATGCACATGACACAAGTTCTTCTCAACATTTGTGACCCACAAGTGATCTGGCACCTCCAAAATTATGTTTCAGTGATGTCTATTGGGTGGATTGTCTGTTGGCTATTATATCTCTCCCCTGCATGAATTGAGATATGGAAACACAGAATAAAAAGGGACTGTTTTTGAATTACCACATGAAACCGCTGAACTATTAAGGGAAAATTGTGGCTTATCAGTAGCCCCATCCCATCCCTCTCACTAAGGCCTCCTGGCTGCACAGGATGAGGTAACAAAGCATTTAAGGACCACTGGGGTAGTCGGGGTGGGGTGGGGTGGGGGTGTCTACCCCATTTGGCCAAGTTGGAAAAGCTCCCACATAGTTGGCCATTTTGAGCTTAGCTGGTTTATGACAGTTTTTGGGAGCCTTGCTGCTCAGACCTGTTTTGCACCAGGGATCCTCAGCTCCGTGGTCACGCTCAGCACCATTAAATCAGATGACCTCAGGGGTGAGGGTAGAGAGGAAAAGGCCTAGGCATAATCCCTTCAGCATCTCCTGCGGAAAAATGGCTTTAGTGACAAGCGTCTCACAACTGCCATTCCCACAATCGTTCCCCTTGTCGATACAATGACCTTTCAGAGGTGGAAGCTCCTTTTTATTACTCTGTGCACTGGGGTAAACCAGGCCACACTGTGTTATCTACCCAATTTATCAACACTATTTACAGCAGGTCCATTCCACTGTCTGGCTTAACTCAGTGCCCAGAGACCCGGCATTGAGAGAGGAGGCGGCTGCTGAAGAGAAAGAAATGTCAATTCCAGCCTAGTCCCCTAAAGTGAAATAAAAGAAACAAAGTAAATAAGGAAGGAGAAGTAAATACAGTATCTCCAGGGTGATTACATCTATCTAGTCCAATACAGGCAAGCATGAAACCAATAGAAACACCATCTTATCCTCTTAGTTATCACCACACACAGAATGTCATCTCTTGGTGGCCTAAAAAGAAAGAAGCATGCCACATCCATCTTTAATGAATATGACATCTCTCACCCACTTGTATTTCAGCAACCCCAAATTGCTGAAAAATGAGATAGGAGAGTCTGTTCTCCCTGTTTGCCCTGAATCATGAGAACGGATTAAAATTATTTTTGTTCTGCTTTGGTTTTTAAGGATTACTTTGAGTAATATTGTTTTCTTTCTGCTCTTCTGTTCTTTAAGGGTTCAGGTTTGCCAGCCATTCTCCACAACTCTGCGATCAAGATGTAATCTTTACTCTTCTTAAATGAAAGAAAATCAGGCTGTTATATGCACAAATGTTCATAAAGGCTGCGGGTAATTGGAAAACACCAGGTATCACGAGACTTATTGTGAAATCACAAGGGTGGCAGTCTGCTCCCTCCATCACACTCAAGTCATTTGAGCCTTGAGCCTGCCTTTCTAGCAGGTTCAAATTCACTGAAGTGGCAAAACAGGCCATACCCCTTCCCCTGTGGTACCGCCATCTGGTCTGTAGGATGGTTTGAGCCATGCGATGAAGGGGATGCTGCTCTGATACTTCACAACATGCCTCAGCAGGTCTCTCTTAACATCATGTCCTCCTGCCATATGATCTGTACTGCCCTCTCCCTTCAACAAGGATCATGCCATGGCCATCCATATATTCTTCAAATGAGTTAATATATTCATTATATATTTCTCTATCTTACTCCCTTGCACCCTGGATTGATATCAGTCCTTGATAGCTACACTAACTCAAGACTAAACAGGTAGCCATCAATATCTTGGATTTTGTCTTGTATTGTTTAGACAAGTATTGAACCATCACACGGATGGTCCATGGGGACTATGATGAACAACAGAATTTGTTTGTTTCCCTATAGCTGAAATATGACCCCTGCAAACCCCAGACCTGTGATGTATCACAATGTCTGGGCATAGCCAGAAATCTAACTCAACCATGTCTTCACAGATCTACAAATCAATCAGAGCAAAATCAGGAGACCTGGTGGAGGCTGCTTTCTTAAATCATATTTGAAATGTGAAATTAAGAGAATAGCAAGAATAAAATATGAAAGAAAAGATCTGTGTATAAAGAATAATTCAGACAGGTTCCACTGAAACTAAGGGCTCTGTTCAGGTTTCCTATTATAATTACACTTCATTGCTGACTCTCTGATGATGCCTAGGAACCAGACTTGGACAGCCCTCCCTCTAAAGCAGGCTCTCTAGTTTATTGTTCTTTTGGAGTTGGGAGCCACACCTGTCTACTCCAGGCACCTGAACCAGATGTCTGGCTGAGGCCCTAAAGAAACAGTCTGCTTGCGCATGCCTTCAAGTCAGAGCTTCATTCTAGCCACTTTGGACTTTGGCTATGAAGCTGATACAGCGGATGACAGGAAAGGGGAAGACAGTAGAGATCAAGACCACAATCCTGTTCATCCTTGTAAGTACTTCACCAGGGGAGAAGGGACCCAGTTCAGGATGATGCCTCATAAGGGGAGAGTTCCTTGACACTGCACTAGGCTTGCTCACAGTGTGGCTGTTGACCACCTCAGGTTCCCCATAGCAGGAGCAACAAGCCCTGGGTGTATCCAAAAGCAAAACAGAAAGCATTTAACAGGATTAGCTTGTACCCATTCCAGAACAACCATCCCTCCTGTAATTCCCTTTTTAACTCCCTCCTTATTTACCCTGGTGAGCGGAATGCAGCTCATCACTGGTAGTGAGCTGTTCCATTGTCACTATCATTCAGCTTTTGGTAGCTGCCTCCTAAGAGTCTCATGGTCATTTGGACACTGCCAATGTTGTGAGACACCTTTAGCATTCCTATCTGATTGGCAGTGAAGTGTAACACCACTAGCACTGAACTTTCTGCAGTGTCTGTTAAAGATAAGGGGGGGGAAAAACTTGAATAATTTATGTAGTTAGTTTAATTTAAATAATTTATGTGCTAAGCATTGCAAACAGAGCTGGAGTTGATAATGAGTCCAAGAAGCACATTTTGAACTCAGTTGCAGATTCTACTGCATTGTAATTCTTGCAGGATACAGGATTTCCTAGCGGTATAAAGGCCGGGAAGTGTAAACAAGGTAGTTGCTCGAAGAAGAGTCTGTACAGACTCCTTCTTTACCAATTACCACCAGATCATCTTATGTTCTCTACAGCTTGTTCAGTATGAACCTCCTGAAATTATCAAGAGCTGCATGCGTTTCCCCAAGCCGCAGAGAGAAGCCTGGCTCCATTGTTTGACAAATAACAGTTTGTAACTGGTGTAATCTGTAATCAGGAATCAATTAAAGAGATATCAACAGGAAAGGAAAGATAAGGGAAAACCAGGAGAAAATCAATGAACAACATAAGGGAATTGATCATTCAAAGGGTCTTTCTTAAGCCACTAGGTCCTCTCAGAGGACTCTTTGTGGCATGTCCCATAGGCTTTGTCTTTTCTTCTTTAGCTGTTTTTTGGCCATTTTACATGAGGAAGCCCTTCTCTTTAGCAGTGGGGAAAAAGAAAAAAAAAAAAAAAATCCAAGCCCCCCCCCTCCAGGTTCATTGAGTGGCCA